TATACATTGACAGTTTTTATTTTAGGCATGAAGTTTTCAGCTATGTACATAGTTTTATTATTTTAGTCTGGATAAGTTATAATTAGGAGTATATTGTTCTATTATTTCAGGCCTGAAGGTTTGGGTGAGGTATATGTGAAGATGTACAATAGGGTACGGAAACATATGTACATTCCTAATGTGTTTGAGATGAAAGACTCACCAAAATTATACCAGAGACTTGCACAGGTAAGGGACAAAAAGAAATTCAATGCTTTTAAAAACTTTCTTTATTGTTTTATTACTTTTATGAAGTGACCTCAGTTGCTAAACTGGTAGCCTTGATTACTGTGGGCTCGAAATTGGACAGGGACTGTAATTCCTAAATGTGTGGAAGGTATCAATATGTGCTTCAGTAATGTTGAAGAAGACTCATGAACTGAAAATAAAAGTTCAGGTCTGTTTCCGTAGTAAATGAATCCCCATAAGAAGCTGTGTCACACCTGTGTCCTCATTACTGAAATATACCACAAACTTTATATATAAGTGTGGTTTATTGTTTACCAGTATAAGACTGAAATTCTGTTACATGGCAACTGAAATCAATATGTGAAGAAAAAAAATCCAAACTCTATGCATGATACACATGTATTTACAAATTAAAAAAAAAATGATTTAAATCTTTAATTTATTAATTGTGTATGTTTTTTTCAGGTCATTCTTGTACAACTTGAGTTATTATTAGATAGGTGGTTAATTGACAGATCAAAAGCTAGTGGGTCTGCCCTCATGTCACCGAGAAGGTACTGTGTATCATTTAGCTCACTATGTCTTTATTATATCCCTACCACTTTATGTGGTTTGGGCAGTACAGAATTAAATTTGTTATGATAGTCCATCTGTCTCCACAGTGTCTTCTAAAAAATCCTTGACCCCTTGGAACAAATTGCTCAAATATCCACCTTAGCAAGCCAATGTGCAGAACCATTCCGACGGTCAAGGTCACACTTGAAGGTAAACTGTCAGAGAGCCAGTTGTTAGACGAACAATTTTATGTCAGCTCTATATATTGTACACCCCATGAAGGATTATCTTCAAACTGGGCTCAAATGCTCACCACAACAAGCAGAACCCATGCTAGTGCTTTGCTGGCTACAAGTCAGAGAGGCACTTGGAGGTCAATGTGATAGTTTAGTCTACTCTTTTCCTCTTGAAAGATTTTCTACAAAGCTCAAAACTCACCACCTTCTAAATTAATAGAAGTTAACCAGTTATTGCTATAACTAAGGTGACAAAATATCAACCTAAAAATATTGGTTTTGAGTTTTTTTTTAGATTTGCATTATTTATAAGTTAAACAAATACTGTATTTTGTTACTTTGTTACATTGTTTCTATATTTTGAAGAAAATTACATCTTGATGGAAAAAAAATACCATAATGGTTTTTAGCTCACCTTGCACAAAGTGCAGGTGAGCTTTTAGGATGGCCAACCAAATGGCGTCCGTCGTCTGTCGTCCGTCCACATTTTAAATATTCTAAGGACATCTTCTATGATACCGCAAGGCCAATGTTAATGAAACTTGGCAGGAATACTCTTTGTATGAAGCTCTATCAAGATTGTTCAAAGAATTCCATTTCATGCAGAACTCTGGTTGCCATGGCAACCGAAAGAAAAATCTTTAAATATCTTCTTTTAAAGAACCGTAAAAGCTAGAGCTTAGATATTTGGCATGAAACATCTTCTAATGAGTGTCTACCAAGTTTGTTCAAATAAAAGCCCTAGGGTCAAAATTGGCCCGGCCCCAGGGGGTCATTGATTTTCCATATATGCATATAGTAAAAACTTAAAAAATCTTCTTTTAAAGAACCCAAAGAGCTAGAGCTAAGATATTTGGCATGAAACATCTTCTAGTGAGTGTCTACCAAGTATGTTCAAATAAAAGCCCTGGGGTCAAAATTGGCCCCGGCCCGGGGGGTCATTGATTTTCCCTATATGCATATAGTAAAACTTAAAAAATCTTCTTTTAAAGAACTGTAAAAGCTAGAGCTTAGATATTTGGCATGAAACATCTTCTAGTGAATGTCTACCAAGTATGTTCAAATAAAAGCCCTGGGGTCAAAATTGGCCCCGCCCCAGGGGGTCATTGATTTTCCCTATATTCATATAGTAAAAACTTAAAAAATCTTCTTTTAAAGAACCCAAAGAGCTAGAGCTAAGATATTTAGCATGAAACATCTTCTAATGAGTGTCTACCAAGTTTGTTCCAATAAAAGCCCTGAGGTCAAAATTGGCCCTGCCCCAGGGGGTCATAGATTTTCCCTATATGCATATAGTAAAAACTTAAAAAATCTTCTTTTAAAGAACTGTAAGAGCTAGAGCTGAGATATTTGGCATGAAACATCTTCTAGTGAATGTCTACCAAGTTTGTTCAAATAAAAGCCCTGGGGTCAAAATTGGCCCGGCCCCAGGGGGTCATTTATTTTCCCTATATGCATATAGTAAAAACTTAAAAAATCTTCTTTTAAAGAACCGTAAGAGCTAGAGCTTAGATATTTGGCATGAAACATCTTCTAGTGAATGTCTACCAAGTTTGTTCAAATAAAAGCCCTGGGGTCAAAATTGGCCCCCTCCCAGGGGGTCATAGATTTTCCCTATATGCATATAGTAAAAACTTAAAAAATCTTCTTTTAAAGAACCCAAAGAGCTAGAGCTAAGATATTTAGCATGAAACATCTTCTAATGAGTGTCTACCAAGTTTGTTCAAATAAAAGCCCTGGGGTCAAAATTGGCCCCCTCCCAGGGGGTCATAGATTTTCCCTATATGCATATAGTAAAAACTTAAAAAATCTTCTTTTAAAGAACCCAAAGAGCTAGAGCTAAGATATTTAGCATGAAACATCTTCTAATGAGTGTCTACCAAGTTTGTTCAAATAAAAGCCCTGGGGTCAAAATTGGCCCGGCCCCAGGGGGTCATTGATTTTCCCTATATGCATATAGTAAAAACTTAAAAAATCTTCTTTTAAAGAACTCAAAGAGCTAGAGCTAAGATATTTAGCATGAAACATGTTCTAATGGGTGTCTACCAAGTATGTTCAAATAAAAGCCCTGGGGTCAAAACTGGCCCGCCCCGGGGGTCATTGATTTTCCTTATATGTGTATAGCAAAAACTTAAAAATCTTCTTTGAAAAAACCCAAATAGCTTGAGTTTAGATATTATATACATGAAACATTTTTAAGTAAATATCTAGTGAATGTCTACCAAGTTTGTTCAAATAAAAGCCCTGGGGTCAAAACTGGCCCTGTCCCAGGGGTGTCTTTGTTTTTAACTATATGTGTATAGTAAAAACTTAAAAAATCTTCTTTTAAAAAACCCAATGAGCTAGAACTTAGATGTTTAGCATGAAACATCTTCTTATGGGTGTCTACCAAGTCTGTTCAAATAAAAGCCCTTGGGTAAAAATTGGCCCGGGGGGGGGGGGGGGGGGGGGGGCTATATACAGGTGAGCGACCTCAGGGCCATCATGGCCCTCTTGTTATATAATGTTTCCCTTTTGTTACTCAAAAATTTCAAGTTTATATAAATTTTTGTTTGGTTAATGCTGATTAAATTTTTTTTTAAAAACGTATGAGTTACAGCCCCTGTAAATAGATGATGATTCAATGTATAACATGTGATATCTATTTTACAGTGCAGGTCACCATGATTTATCACAGGATGATGTACCTGACTATTTTAATGAGGACATCTGGTATTTAACAGTACTGTGTGGCTATAGTGAAACACTGGAAGATATTTGGATAGATCACTGTATAAGAGGTAGGTGAAGATTGGTTTTATAAGCTAAACTATTTGAACTTGAAGAAATGTGGGTATATTGTATACACGCTGGTGGCTGAGTGGTTATGGTTGTTGACTTTCAACCACATGGCTCTCATCGCTGTGGGTTCGAATCCCCGACAAGCACTTTGTATTGTTTCATGAGAGGAAGCTATACAGCTAGCTTACAGAACATCAGTAGTTCTACTCAGGTGCCCATTCGTGCCTGAAGTAATGCACGGAAAAGCACCTTAGGTTTACCTCTACCAGTAAAGCTGGAAAGTGGCCATAAAACCTATACTGTGTTGGTGTGATGTAAAACTAACCCCCCCCCCCCCCCCCGGCCTTAAAAAAAAAAAAATGATGGCATTTGCATTTACATAACACTTCGTTAAGTTGCAATTTTTATCTCATTAACTTTAAAATGTATTCTATTGAAACTTCACATATGTCATAACATCAGTGTATCTATCTGAGACATATAACTCTAGCATGGATTTGTACTGAATTACAGCTCTTTATGAACTAAGATTATTCTTATGTAAGGTTTTGTGAAAAAGTTCTGTTTTTACAGCCACTAAGGATATTCATTGTATTGATTTTCACAGAATTTCGCCTTTTGAAGTTAAATATTCTGTATTTATCCAGGCTTAGTGGCTAACATTTTACTATCGAGAACTTGGAAGAGTAAATTGACCTGTTTAATTGGTAGCAGTTTAAGACATTCTCTCCCCATATCCTTAAAGATAGAATGTTTCTTTCATTTAACGAGAATATTTCTTTTCTTGAGTTAACTTCAAGTAATTATCAACTTTCACATAGAGACTATCTCTATGGTGATGTGCACATGTATTATATCTGTTAGTTAAATAGTATTTATTATATAAATGACATAGAAATCTTTGAAACATTAGTAAAAGTAAGATTGTTTTATTGCAGTATATTGGTTGAAATCCAGATACTCTGTTTTGAGAAACAACATGGAGGATGCAGTACTCTACCTTGATATGGTATTCCATATTCTTACTTTGCTTTGAGTGTAGAAATTGATTACCCCTTGTCACCAGTACAGAGCCAGGCATGTCTACACATTTAGGCATGGCTCTGTACTGCTTGAAGACTAACTTTAAATTTCATCATGAAATCCCTAAATTGATAATGGATGGTCCTAAAAATAGAAAGTGGGCAAGTCCATTTAAGAAAGTCAGCATAGTAAGGGTTTAGTTAATTCAGTAGCTTTCACAATACTTAATAATCACTCTTCCATTGATAGCAAACCCCTATACTATAGACAATGATATTTTATAAAATCTTTTTCTTAATTACTTTTGATAATTTATGCTTTATTGCTTTATTTATATTTAGAACAAAGAGTACCTTGAGTATGGGAAGGAAGAATTCAATGTAGAAAATTCCTATCTTCCAAACTGCCAGATAGACAACTTTGTGGATCTAGGTAATTATTTCTTTTTACCTGCCAGGTGCTTTCTTTAGGTTCGATTAAGAAAAATTGACATTTGAATTGAATTTTATTTAGCTGTCAACAATGAAATTGAAGGAAACTTTGTCATGTTATTTTAAACTTTGAACAAACTTAAGTGTAAACACAGATAATAATACAATTTCATATACATGTGATATATGGTTTATACATTAAGTGCCATTGTATGATCTTTCATAATTGAATCTGGCAGGGTTGTTTATCATAAGGCATTCCTTATTTTTATTGTGATTACATGTGTCTTTATGTCCTAGAAAAACCTCAAAAGAATATAATCATTCTTCAAGAGAGCTTGTCCAGATTGGTCACAAGATGCATCAACAGATGATAAATGTCCACACATCATATATGTTTTAATGACTTTATTTTATTGTAGATATAGTGGTATCACAGCAGGATATGTTACAACAGACAAGATCTGTTGAGGAAACAGAGAAGTTGTACGAGAAGAAAGACTACAAGAAGGTTGTTGAAATTCTGGTACAGAACTTCAGTGCTGAAAAGCAAAAGGTAATTATTGCAGTTAACAAGTAATTTAATTAAGAAATTACTTGTAGCTATACTTAAGCATTTACCAGGGATTTTTTCTCCCCAGGATTTTGGGAAAATGACCCATACCCATGGAATTGGGAATTTTAGCAATATTTTGTTAAAAATTGGGAAAAAATGCATGTCTAAAATTTTACAGCAAACAATCACTGTCTAGGATGGCATCTTCAAAAATTTAAGCACAATTACAGTAAAGAAGCCCTTATTTTCAAAGATTTTAGAAATTTTTATTCAATATTTTTATTTTGTAACTTTCAATTGGGAATTTTTCCTGTGCATTTGGAAAATAATATACTATTTTCAGTTGGGCATATAACCCATTAACGGCAATAAAATAAGCCAAAAAAGATCTCTGTTTACATTGATACAAATCGAAACTGAGTTTTTAAATGGGCTCTACTTCATTTAGTAGTTAAATGCTAGTAAGCAACAGTGTTTCATTCATTTATGTTTTTATTGGCAAGTGCATGTAGTTAATCAACAAGTATTCTTTGACTTTTATACCAGTATAAACCATTTCTCCACAAGGAACTTACAACATCTTCACATGACTTAATGGGGGATGTGCTTTTGAGTGATAAATGTTACCATGTAGATGTGTCATCTCTATTCACTAGGTACACAAGACTCACCAGTTTTAAGCTTGTGATGATAAGATCTGTTGGCATGATGATTTGAATATGTTTTACATTTACAGTCCAACCAGATTGCTCTTGTCTATACTGTAGACAATGTCTATATACCTTAGTGAAGTAATGGCCTAATGGGTTAACTCCTTTAAAATTTTAATGGGTGTTAACCAGTTATCACATTAAAGTGATGGCCTGTCATTTTTATTTTAGCTTGTCTGTTAGAAAGAAAATGTTGAGCCTTTATGATCTATGTGTCATTGTTGTCATTGTGCAAAAAATTTAATGTAGCCCTCTTTTCAAACATTTTAAAAGTTATCAACATGAAATTTGGAATATTTGGTAATTATATCAAGGTGCAGTTATAGACAAGGAGATCAATTATGAAATCTATATTTTTGGAACTACTCCCCTTTTCACTTCGAATTTTTGTCAGAACTTATTGCCATTAACAGAGGAGCTGTCATAGTCCATGTGGTGCTCTTGTTATTACAGATAATGAAGATAACAGAAGATAAAGCAGAGAGACAGGCACAGTTAATTATGTTACAGGAAGCTCTGTTTGAAACACACGATTATAATGTAAGTCATGTATTACTGCAAAATTATCATTATTCGTGGGGCACTAATTTTTGGGTTTTCATTGATAGTCAATCCATGAATATCCAACAAAATTTCATTAGGTCTTCTGTAAGATTTTTTTGCATTAGATTATTTAGATTTTACCTTTTGGAAAATAAAACATTTATGAAATAAAGTACCCACAAAATGTTCTTTGTGACAAAACTATGAAATTTCATGTCCATGAAATTTAATGAATTTACAGTATTTGGTCTAAAGGTATAAAACATACTTTGACTACATGTGTAGCAATTGCAAGTTTAATTTTCTCACTTCTGCAACTAAGAGTTTTTAAAGTCTTTATGATGAGACATAATTAAAGTCTCATTTAATTGTTTTTATGTAAAAAAATTAGTTGGTACTTGTAAAATGGTTTCTATTTAGGTCTTATTTCTGTTTGCCACCATTTTAAAGGAACTCAGCTGAGGTTCAAAAGCCTAAAAACATCAAACTTGATTTTTTTTTACAAAGGTCCGCTGGGGCACTTAAACAAGAACATATGCAAAAGATAGTAAAGAAATTTACTCAGAAATAAATTGAAATTGTATTTTTAGCTCACCTGTCACAAAGTGACAGGGTGAGCTTTTGTGATCGCTTTTCGTCCGTCCGTCGTCCGTCCGTCCGTCGTCCGTCCGTAAACTTTTACTTTAAATGACATCTCCTCATAAACCACTAAGCCAATTTCATCCAAACTTCACAGGAATGTTCCTTTGGTGGTCACCTTTAAAAATTGTTCAAAGAATTTAATTCCATGCAGAGCTCTGGTTGCCATGGCAACCGAAAGAAAAAACTTTAAATATCTTTCTTTAAAAAACCCTAAGAGCTAGAGCTTAGATATTTGGCATGAAACATCTTCTAGTGAGTGTCTACCAAGTTTGTTCAAATAAAATCCCTGGGGTCAAAATTGGCCCCGCCCCAGGGGGTCATTGATTTTCCCTATATGCATATAGTAAAAACTTAAAAATTCTTCTTTTAAAGAAACCAAAGAGCTACAGCTAAGATATTCAGCATGAAACATCTTCTAATAATGAGTGTGTACCAAGTTTGTTCAAATAAAAGCCCTGGGGTCAAAATTGGCCCTGCCCCAGGGGGTCATTGATTTTCCCTATATGCATATAGTAAAAACTTACAAAATCTTGTTTTAAAGAACTCAAAGAGCTAGAGCTAAGATATTCAGCATGAAACATCTTCTAATGGGTGTCTACCAAGTTTGTTCAAGTAAAAGCCCTGGGGTCAAAATTGGCCCCGCCCCGGGGGTCATTGATTTTCCTTATATGTGTATAGCAAAAACTTAAATAATCTTATTTGAAAAAAACCCAAATAGCTAGAGTTTAGATATTAAGCATGAAACATCTTCTAGTAAGAGTCTACAAAGATTGTTCAAATAAAAGCCCTGGAGTCAAAACTGGCCCTGCCTAGGGGTGTCATTGTTTTTAAATATATGTGTAAAGAAAAAACTTAAAAAATCTTCTTTTAAAAAACCCAACAAGCTAGACCTTAGATGTTTAGCATGAAACATCTTCTAATGGGTGTCTACCAAGTTTGTTCAAATAAAAGCTCTGGGGTTTAAACTGGCCCCGCTCCGTGGGGCCTATATACAGGTGAGCGTCTTCAGGGACATCATGGCCCTCTTGTTATTGTAGGCCTTGATATTAAAGCAAGGTACAATGTATATTGCTTAATTATTTCAGGCTATATTGTATAATATTTCAGGCTATATTGGTTAATATTTCAGGCTATATTGTTTAATATTTCAGGCTATATTGTTTAATATTTCAGGCTATATTATACAATTATTGACTAGTGAGCCGTTGAATATGATGTGATATTCACCGGCAGATGACATATTGACCAAGGCGATAGCCGAGGTCAATATGACTTTCTGCCGGTGAATATCACATCATATTCAATGGCTCACTAGTCAATAATTGTTTTATTATATGAATAGGCTATGAATAAAAAAAAAAATCATGAAAAAGTACATCTTATATACATGTACAAATTTTGCCTCGTTGAAGCGCGGGAAAAAAGACGCACGTGTTAGGCGTGCAACGACTACGCAAACACTGCGCATACAAAAGTAATTCAAGTTTATACTCATCGATGCGGTTTAGCCTTTAAGTATAACAGTAAAGTAATGATATTTCAATCGAGAAATATGCCATAAAGAACAAAACGCGACAATTATTTTTTAATTTACACACGTAATTAACAGTCTACGGTGTATGGTCATTGAATATGAGTCTTGATTTTCCCAATATGCATATAGTAAAAACTTAAAAAATCTTCTTTGAAAAAACCTAAATAGCAAGAGTTTAGATATTTGGCATGAAACATCTTCTAGTGAGTGTCTACCAAGTTTGTTCAAATAAAATCCCTGGGGTCAAAATTGGCCCCGCCCCAGGGGGTCATTGATTTTCCCTATATGCATATAGTAAAAACTTAAAAATTCTTCTTTTAAAGAACCCAAAGACCTAGAGCTAAGATATTCAGCATGAAACATCTTCTAATGGGTGTGTACCAAGTTGGTTCAAATAAAAGCCCTGGGGTCAAAATTGGCCCCGCCCCAGGGGGTCATTGATTTTCCCTATATGCATATAGTAAAAACTTGCAAAATCTTCTTTGAAAGAACTCAAAGAGCTAGAGCTAAGATATTCAGCATGAAACATCTTCTAATGGGTGTCTACTTAGTTTGTTCAAATAAAAGCCCTGGGGTCAAAATTGGCCCCGCCCCAGGGGGTCATTGATATTCCTTATATGTGTATAGCAAAAACTTAAATAATCTTCTTTGAAAAAACCCAAATAGCTAGAGTTTAGATATTAAGCATGAAACATCTTCTAGTGAGTGTCTACAAAGTTTGTTCAAATAAAAACCCTGGGGTCAAAATTGGCCCCGCCCCGGGGCGTCTTGATTTTCCCTATATGCATATAGTCAAAACTTAAACAATCTTCTTTGAAAAAACCTAAATAGCTAGAGTTTAGATATTAAGCATGAAACATCTTCTGGTAAACATCTACAAAGTATGTTCAAATAAAAGCCCTGGGGTCAAAACTAGCATGCCCCGGGGGTGTCATTGTTTTTAACTATATGTGTGTTAATAAAAACTTAAAAATCTTCTTTTAAAAAACCCAATGGGCTAGAGCTTAGATGTTTAGCATGAAATATCTTCTTATGGATTTCTACAAAGTTTGTTCAAATAAAAGCCCTTGGGTGAATATTGGCTCTGCGGGGGGGGGGGGGGTGGGGTGGGGGACAGGGGGCGGGTGAGATCATTGTTTTTCATTACATGTGTGTAGTTAAAAAAACTTAACATTGTTAAACATCTTTTAATGAGTGTCTTCCAAGTTTGTTCAAATAAAAGCCTTGGGGTTTAAACTGGCCCCGCTCCGGGGGCCTATATACAGGTGAGCGACCTCAGGGCCATCATGGCCCTCTTGTTTGTCCTATTTTTATCCGATTTGACTGAAAAGTGTTGTAATATTTTAGGTCATTTTTTACAACTAGAACAATTATTCTGTAAAAACAGAGTGAGCAAATGACCTGAAATTTTGCACAAAAGTTTTGGTCTAGACATCTAAGGGAATATTAAAATTATTTTTAATCCTGTCATGTCAAATAATACCTCAGTGAGTCCTTTAAAGGCCATTTTTTATATAATTCATCGGCTGAATGTTGTACAATTATTTTTCTCAATATTTTGTGTTTTGACCTGCAAAAATGGCTGTCAATTTAGCCAAAGAGAAATCAAATCATTATTGAGAATTAAAGTGGGTTTTTCGCCTTTTTATATGCCGAAAGTTATACCCCCTGGCGTCCGTCCGTTAGCAATTTGGTTTCCGGTTCTATTTGGCCCACAATATTCAAACTTCATAGGATGATTGTCCATATTGAGTAGAAGACCCCTATTGATTTTTGGGTCACAAGGTCAAAGGTCAAGGTCACTTTTACTTTAAAACTGAAAACAGTTTCCGGAGCATAACATAAGTTCCATTTGGCCCACAGGGTTCAAACTTCATTGGATGATTGTCCATATTGGGTAGAAGACCCCTATTGATTTTGGGGTCACAAGGTCAAAGTCACTATTCACTGGAGTATAACCAATGTTCCATTTGGCCCACAATATTCAAACTTCATAGGAGGATTGCTATTTGAAGGAGGTAATTCTTTATTTAAATCCCATGTCTAACAAATGCTTCATACTTACTAAAAAAACAAAAAACAACACTTTCGGGCATATAATGCTATGCCTAAGTCAAGTATTTGAATACTCATTATTGTCCGGCCCTAAAATTAAATTTAGTAAAATAGATAATGTTTAGTTGTGTACTCTTACAGAATTGCTTATTATGGGGAGAGGAAGGGTTTAATGAGTGTTATCAGATGTCAAGACAAGGAAGTAAATCTGAGGAAACTAGCAGCTGGAACAAAACTATGATCACAATATTCTCATATCTGCAAAGGTAAAGAGTTTACATTATATTGAACCTAGAAACTATTATTAGTCCCCTACCGGTCTATCGGAGGGGACTTTAGGTTTACCCTCCGTCCGTCTGTCTGTACGTCCGTCCGTCTGTCCGTCCGTCAGTCCGTCCGTCCACAAAACTGGATCCCGTGATAACACAAAAAGTACTGAAAATATTTTAATGAAACTTGGTATATGGATAGATGGCAGTATGGAGATTATGCACGTCCTTTTCTTTTCTTCCTATGTTGAAAATTCTGGTTGCTATGGCAACAAATAGACTGAAAATATGGCAAATTTTACACATAACCTGGATCCCGCGATAACGCAAAAAGTACTGACAATTTTTTTATGAAACTTGATATATGGATAGATGGCAGTATGGAGATTATGCACGTCTTTTTCTTTTTTTCCTATGCTGAAAATTCTGCTTGCTATGGCAACAAATAGACTGAAAATATGGCAGATTTTACACATAACCTGGATCCAGTGATAACGCAAAAAGTATTGAAAATATTTTTATGAAACTTGACATATGGGTAGATGGCAGTATGGAAATTATGTACATCCTTTTCTTATATTCCTGTGTTGAAAATTCTGGTTGCTATGGCAACAAATAGACTGAATTTCAAGATTTCTGATTCTAGTTTTTAAGTTTTTTCACTATAAGTTCTTTATTTCTTAAGGTATTTTCTTCAAACTTTAAAAATAAGTTGCTAGTCATCAACCACATCATATGTGACAAAGTTTACAACTCTAGCATAAAGTTTATCAGAATTACCTCCCTTGAACTTAAAATTTTCATGAAAAAAAACATTGTTTTTTTTAATAACTTCTTTTTTTCTGAACGTATCTACTTCAAACTTCATATAAATGTTTCTTATTATCACTCAACATTTGTGAGTGTTCAATACTCTAGCAAGACTATTTCCAGAATTATGCCCCTTTTGAACTTTTTTGAGAAATTGGTAATTTTTACTCCAACTTCTTCAATCATGATAGAATTTTCTTCAAACTCCCACATCATTATAATATGACAAGGTTTATAAATCTAGCATCCATATTTCCAGAATTATCTCCTCCTTAAACTTTTAATTTTTCCTATTTGTTCTTTTAACTTTCATTTACTTCAATTTCAAAATAAATATTCAATATTCATACCTTCATTACTAATTGTTCTTTGTTACACTCACATCATGTATGACATTGTTATCTCCTTTTTTTTTAAATTTTGCTTTTAAAATGTTATATTTTGATAACAGGGATGTTTAAAAAATAACTTTAGACTGTCCTTCAGTCCGTCTGTCTGTCTGTTCACTGTGATCACTTTTAAAGAACTTTTTCAACAAATTTACTTAAAATAGAAACATAAGTGAATGGCCAATGGCCCTTCAGAATGTTGCTTGGGCTCTTACCGGTAGGGGACTTATGGATTGCTTGCAATACTATGATAATTGCTTGTTCTTATATGTAATCATATTTTAATGCAAGGGATAGAATAAAGACACACCTATAAGTAAGGCCCCCACGATTACACGTTTAAACAGATTCGTTTCGATTTTCATTCATAAACGTTTACGATTTTGTTTACCGTTTAATCGAAATGACCATATTGTCTTACAAAATATCTTAATCATTGCCTGTAATAATGGATTTTATCAATTTTAGTGGTTTATCAAAGTAAACAAACTGAAAATAGGTGTTTACAACCCTCCACACAGCATTACGGTGCAAAATTGTTGTGACATAATATAGATTAGGTAAAAAGTGGGGTTACAAAGCAAAAAATGTGTGCTGACTCAATCGTGATGAGCCCTGGACATTCTTTATTTGTACATGTATAAAAAATAGAAAGAAAGACATCATTTGGCGACTCAAATACATGTTGTGTATAGTTACTATAGTACAAAGAGGTACCACCGTTTAAACGGTATCGTTTCGGTTCTTAGCAATCGTGTAAACATTCACAAAAAATTGTAAACGTGGGAGCCTTACCTATAAGACCTTCTGACCACCTTATTGATATTGGCTCAATTTAGACTTGTTTCTCTTTTATCTTTATTTAAAGGCACATTATGCCTCAGATATGAATAAAATTTACTTCTTTAGAAAGGGCAAAAATGAGTTTTATAATGTTTGAATATGGTATAAGATTATATAAGATGCTTGTTACCTGAAGAAAGTAGCGGAAAATGTGAAATTATTTGTCATAAAAGTAGCAAAATGTAAACAAAAAGTAGTATTTTGACTTCCATACAAAATAATAAATAACTATAAATGAACTTTTTGCAAAAAAAAGTGACAGAAGAAAAAGATTGCTAAGGTAATTGGCCAATGAGTAATTTTGTTTGAATCTATAAAAGTACCAAAAAAAAAAAGAAGAAAAATCTTTTGAGAAATGAAAATAAAAGTATTTCTTGGACATAAATGGCCTTTAAAGGGACATTACGTAATGGAACCATCTTAGTAGACTGTTTTTAATCACTTATTTTTTTAAGATGAAAGGGTTTTTTTAAGCCAAAATGAATAAAACTTCATGATAAAATGTGTAATTAGCGCTAATGTACCCATTCGAAGATGTGAATTTTGTATCCTTTTTGTTTCAGGATATTTGAGAAGAATGTTTCTATATCTGATGCATTAACATCTTCAAATATAATCAGGTTTTCTCAGAACTTGATACGGTTGATAGATTTAAACATGTCACTACCAGAAAGTATGACCACGATGGCTGTGGATACAGTTGTACCCTGGATATTACTGTATTATATAATCAAACAGTACGTTTTTACAATTTTCTTATAGTATTTTTTATAATACTGCATGTTTGTAACGTTGCTTTTCATTGGATAATCGTGACATTAATATATTTTTATATACACGGCTGCTGTCGATTTATAAAGAAATCTTACTCTTTTCTCGAAAAAATGATGCTTGCTGTATTATAAATTTGTTATAAATATTCCTGACAGGTTATATGGCCGTATATAAATGGTTGCAAACAAACGGTTGTTTGCAATATTTCCAAAAAAAACCCCATCACTTGCAGAAATCATGATCACAAAGTAGAAAAATAACACTTTTCACTGATTCTTAGATTTTTTATTCATTATTGTTCATAAATTTGTGTGAAGAGATGAATTAGACGTTTTAAAGTGCATTAAGGCGGGTGAAAAGGTGTGGTTTAGCATTTAATCGTTCAAGTGCTGAGTCCGGTATATAAACCAGAATACAGTATTTTGTTTGGTGCTCTCAACACATTTTATAGTGTCACTCAGTTTTCAGTCTGACAGTTATAATTATATTCTATGAAGATGTATTCTACTTTTCATGATTTTGGCATAAGTGTTAGTGTCACACATTGGGTAAATTTTTTGAATTGACCGATTTTATTACTTTACAAATTGAAATATTTTTTCAAAACTTAGAACATATTATAATGACCATCATCCCAGTGTTTGTTGAGAATATAAATACTGCTATCTTGAATGATAAAACACAAGTCATTTATGAATTGTGTTCTATTTCAGAGAAGAGGATAAGTTAGAAGAAGCAAGATTGAAGGGAGATAGTGTGGAAGAAAAAACAGAAGAAAATATGTCATCATCATATATGTTACTAAATATAGCTCATGATTATCTTGGAAGGTAAAGTGAAGTTATTTCTTCTTAAGGTCCTATCTTGTCTAAGTTTCTATTGTATATAACTTTAATTGGAAGATAATTTTGAGGCAAAAAAAGTGTCCACCTGGAGCATATCACCACCATTAATTGATCTCATGAACCGACTTCATCATCACTTGCCTCTAACCATTGTAGGTTCCAACCTCGCAAGATTCTTGTATTTGAGAAAGATATCCAGTTAGCTTACACATTGTCTGTGGTTCCACTCAGGTTTGTGCCTGAAATAACGCACACAGGGGTTCCTGACGTCTTCCTCTATGAGTAAAGCTAGAAAGTCACCATACTTTTGTTGGTGTGAAATAAAAACCAATTAAAAAACAACAACAAAAAACAAAAAACTTTATCATACTGAGTCTGCAAATTTCACTTTAAAATTATTTTTCATTCCTACTAAGGGATGTCCCTTTAACCATATTTTTCTATTGAATTGATCTTTTTGTTATTTGTTTGATACCCTAACACAACTATGATTGCAATACATTCACTAGAAGATGATGAATGTTCATTTTTGTCCTTTCTTTCAGTCGTTCATGGTGTACAAAGTCAGATGGTGCCCTACTTCTGTTCTTTATGTCTGTATTGAAAAAAGCTATGTGCAAGGAACCAGTGTCAAAATTCCAAGAGGAGTACCAGCAAGCATTTGAACAATGTGTGTATTGTCTGTTTGGTCATCCTAACAAAAAGGGAAAGGCTAAACATTTACAGGTTAGATTGTCTTTATTGTTTACTTAAATCTGTTCATTCAAGCACTTAATTTTTATTTCACCCACATTTTAAGGGTGTCTGTGGCTGAGAGGTTAAGATTGTCGACTAAAAAAACACTTGTTTGATATCATTGTCACTTAACTAGCAGTTTCCAGATTGGTTTATATCTGATTTGTTTTTTTAAGGACCACAATGCCAGCAATATAAGTTTACAATGGGACCATGCTGTGGATGTGTTTGAGTATTTCAAGCCAAAAACACTTCCAGAGTTTGATGGATATAGATCAGAAACAATCAGTGCAGAGGTAAATAGAAATGCACCTTTTTTCCTTTATGAATTTTTGTGTCATGATTTTAATCTTATTCATTTTCAGAAGAAATAGTTATGACTTTACTTACTTGGGGACAGAGTGATTGAAATTATATAACAGGGATACCTCATATTTAAGAAGATATTTCCATACTGAAACATTATATCAGAGGGAAAGTTTTGTCTTAATTCAGTGAAGTGTTGATATACATAGGGTAAAGAAAAACTTTTATAACTCCTTTTTTGGCCAAAGTATGAATGAAATACAATCGGAACAAATAAATTATAATTTGAAGGAAAAAAAAACAACAACTAAAAACTTCATTTGGTCATGGTTCATTACAAAATGAAATGATGAAGCTTTCCGTCTAGCCTATAAAAGGTGGTTGGTCCTAACCTTGTGACCAGTTGTGCCAGAAAAATTGCACAAAGTGGCACTTGCTGTCTCTCTTAACCAGTAATTTGAGTAAAGCTGAATAGAGGTTATATGATTTTCACAGTGTATGTGTGTCTTAAAACCAAATCAATAAACAAAAACAAGTTGAAATTTTTATTTATTGATTTCATATATTATATATAATTACAGGTAGAGTTTTTATTGAAGAGGATTACTGTGTTAATTCCTGAAAGCTGTAAAACTATGGGTAAGTAAACAGGGTACATTAGAATTAACCTTCAAATAGTTGTTGCAATAATGACATACATATATAGAGAGCCAGGACAACCTTCACAGCTTCCATACTGCTACCATACAACTTTAATACAACCTCCATGCCTCCATACAGCTTTAATACAACCTCCATGCCTCCATACAGCTTTAATACAACCTCCATGCCTCCATACAGCCTCCATACAACAATAATTATATATTGTTATAACTGGCAATAAACACGTAAAAACACTGACATAATATTATAACTGGTAATAAACTTATCAAAAAAGACTTGGAGTAAAGAAAATATCAAAATAGCTTAAAGTTTCAGCAAACTGCTGTCTTATTTTAATGTTCTTACTTTATGAATAAAGTAAAAGGTTGAACAATAATAACTAGAAAAGTGATTGCTATTCAACATATTTGCAAATATAAGAACCATTTTACAAATGCACACAAATAACGGAGAACAAAATTAGAATTTGAATTTATTAAAGTTATTTAACCAATAGGTACTGTATTTCTGTATGTAACATGTGTTCAATGAAATATTTTATTATGTCATTAACCCTATGTAAACTCAATGGATGATGTCACTATAAAAAGAATGGCATATTACACAATGATTATGTAGTATTAATATACAAAAGCTGGTCACATATTGTTATATTTAGATATCAATTTTGAGTACATTGTTGTAGAATAATGCATGGTTCGAGTTCAAATGCGCAGAAATATAAGCACAAAGGCCAACAGGCCAGAGCGATTAATGACAAAGCATTTAAATGAAAAACAGAGCATTATTATACAATAATGAAAGAAAAATTAATATCTATTATCATTGTTACATGCTAAATAAATAAAGAGAATTAATAAAAATATGTTGAACTACATTGAGCATAGAAGTAATTTTCCATGATGATGTTTGGTTTATTGATGTCATATCTGATGTCAGATGATGTGTTAGTGCTGTACATATATCATGTGATTATGCACTTGATTGCCCTATCTGTTGGAAAAGGGAATGTTTAGAAGCTTGTTAGAATGTTTAATAAATGAGCCGCGTCATGACAAAACCAACATAGTGCGTTTGCGACCAGCATGGATCCAGACCAGCCTGCGCATCCGCGCAGTCTGATCAGGATCCATGCTGTTCGCTTTCAGTTTCTCTACTTGTAATAGGGTTTGTAGGCGAACAGCATGGATCCTGATCAGACTGCGCGGATGCGCAGGCTGGTCTGGATCCATGCTGGTCGCAAACGCACTATGTTGGTTTTGTCATGACGCGGCTCAAATATCTATATGAAATGACATGTCGTATAAATGATACAGGATATTTACTATAGAATGTTACATGATGTTACATGTTTGAAATCTGATATACAGGTATACCTGTTGATGATATACAGAGTTATATAGAGGGAACAAACAGTATAACACCTGCTATACAAGATGGTAGACAAGTTACACTGTAAGTAATTAATGAAATGAATTATAAATATTGATAGTCATTATGTTCTTGTATAACTCAAGATCAGGGCCTGCATAGCTTCATCTTAGTGAAGTAACGTGTTAACCCCCTTTAGAATATTTATGGAGTTAACCTGTTACTGTACTAAGGTGTCAATATATCAACCTGAACAAACAGTGAAAATTTTGTACAAATAACAGTGATCTTGTTAACTGTAAATATTTAATCATTGGTTGATAAATATATTGAGCTTGGTTTGAAGACTGTTTTTGTTTTTGTATTTTTGGATGAAAAAACACTTGCTTGCCTCTCTGGTTTGATAAAAATCCCATTAATAAAGTATTAGAGGTAGGGTGACCTAGCAGCATGTGTCTGCCTCTCAACTAGATATCATGGGTTCAAGTCCCACTGGGGTGATAACCATGTTTCCAGAAAACAAACTAACAAGTGATACAAAATATGCAACAAGCTTTTGTTTCACAGTTAAGCTAAGATAAATAATGTATAAACTAGTGAATAAAGAATGATCAGAATGGTACTTATTAGATCAAGGGATAACTTCATGGATATATGACAGTTAATATTTTGTGTGACTTAGCATTCCTTCTTATTTCAGTTACAAACATACATGTACAATATAAGTTGCTGTTAAGCCAGGTGTATATACTAATCTTGCAAGATAGTGCTGACATTTATTACCAACTTTTTTGCAGTTAAGTAATTTGATTATACATTGTAGATATTTTATTTTTTTATTTCAGACCTGTAGTTGATGCTATATATTACCTGTTGGCAGATTATTACCTCAAGAACAAAGAAGCAGTGTAAGTTTTATATTTTCTTTTCTTCTACATAAAAATTGACCTCTCCAGATTTTAGCAGTGAAAAATCTAACCTGTCCTTTTCTTTCATTGTTATGTCAATTTCTTACAAACAGTTTAACAAGAAAAACCTTGCATTGTTTTGTGTAAGCCGGGTCAAACAGTGATTAATGTATTATCCCAGTGTAGGAACTGGATAGCCATTCAGCCAGTTTACATAAAGCTGTCCACACAGTAAATAGGTCAATCATGATGAGGTTGTTAACTTCAAATAACTCACCCCTCCTAGCTTTTTTATGTGTTGGTTTGTATCAGAACTCCTGTGGAAGACATCTGGCTAGTTTTCAAAAGTCCTGAGATTCTGAACACAGATACATTATTGTGCCTGAAATAGAATAAATTTTTTAAAAAAACAATCTAGAAATTTTCCCCCTGATATTTGACAGTTCTAGTGTAATCTGAACCCCCCAAGCAAAGAAATCTGAACCCAATCAAAGAAATCTGAACCAATCAAAGAAATCTGAACCCAAAGAAACGAGAAGAAAAATATAGTTAGAATAATAAATAAAAGCAATTCAAGGCAGGGGAATTTACATGTGTGCTACATGTATTATTATTTCACATATATTTTTTTAGATTGCTGACCAAAAGTGTAAGGAAAGTGGGAAATTTTGAATTGGAAAAAAGCATAAAATCCTGATGAAGCATTTAAGCTTGAAAGTTTCATTTAAACTTGATAGTATCAGCCCCGAGTTAAAAAAAATATTAATAAATACAAAAAAAAAAAAATACAAGTAAGTGAGCAGGAGCTAAATAAAAATCATTTATTTGAAATGGTGGACAATGTTTATTTCTGTCTGCGAATTAATAATATTTTTTTTAAACTTTTTCAGAAAAGCTATAAAGTTTTATATGCAGGATCTGTGTATGAACCCATGTAGACTGGACTCGTGGGCTGGTATGGCACTGGCTAGGATGAGTCAGCTTGACTCAAAACTGGCCTCGGTGAGCATCTTATTTATCCCTTCCTGTTTGTTAAAATTACTTTCCTGCTTCTCTATTCCTAGCTGCAAGCAAATTATAGGCAGGTTTAAAAGTGTTTTCACTACTTGTATTCAACTGGAACCCTTGCCCCACTAAGCATCTTAAATGGACTTTCAGCCTGGATAAAACCATTTATAAATTTTTAGGGAAAATTTTAAAATGTGTACTGACTGTATAGCAAACAATGCAGATCATGATCAGATTTGTGCCAAGGGTTCACGGTCTGCACTGGTGCAATCGACTGTTGCCAGCAGACTAAAAGTTATTTATACGGAGATTTATTGCTTAGCAACAGTAATAAAACTTTTAGATTGTAACCTCCTTGTATTAAAATGATTACTTTAAAACGATCAGTCATGATAATAAAAAATAAAAAATCATATATGATGTATATCTTATTTAAGGCTGAATTGAAGATGGACCAACCTCTGTATAAGAAATCTATAGCAGCCCTGAGATGTTTTAAGCGAGCAGTTGAAATAGATGATACCAATAGTAAACTGTGGATAGAGTACGGTACCTTGGCCTACCAGTTACATTCACATGCTTCTAGACAAATCAGATGGGTAAGTAAATGTTTAAACAAACAGTTCACACTGGGATAAGGATGGCTTTGTGGTTAAAAAGCTTGCATTCCAACCCCATATTTGTTGGTTTGAGACCCCCACTGCAGTGATGACAATATTTCTCATATAAGGCACCAGTATTGGTTAGTTAAAAGAGGTGGACGTATAAGTTGTCCTAATGAGTGCCTAGCTTAAATCACAGTTAAACTGCATTAAATATAAATACATGTACAGTGCTTCATGATAGCTTATTAGAGGTGTTTTTAAAGACTATTTGGCGTTCCAGTTACTTGTAGACAAATCCAATGGGTAAATGTTCATATTATCATATGATTTTAGATTCATTTAAACACAGTATAGGTCATAGTGGCACTATCCAAATTTTACTTATAAAAAGAGTATTCTCAAATACTTACCTCTACTTTCAGTGTGTGCTGGAGCACCTGTGTACAGCCTTTTATATGCTAAAGTACTTGACATATTTACTAATTAATGAGATATTAGAATAGTTTGTATTTAGCATTTATGCATAACTATCTGATTATTCTCCCTATTTCTTAAGTCAAATTTTGTTTGTAGAAAAAATGGTTTGCGATGGATGAGGAAACTGTAAAGATAGCAGTCAACAGCAAGCGAGAAATGTTGCAGACGGCAACTGACTGTTTCCGTATGGCCGCTGGATGTGACCGAGACTGGTCGGAAGATGAATGGCTACATAATTACATGCTGGGCAAATGTTGTGAGAAACAGAAAACAGGCATTAAAGATGCTGCATCTTATTATTTGAAGGTAAGAAATATATTTCTTGCATATCAGACTGGCGTTTCCGTGAGTTTTACCCATGCCGGAAATTTCATCTGGCATGGGGGGTGCCAGATGAGTTGCGTGCTGTACAATGGCACGCTTAGGATGACGTCATTTTATCGTTATGAATGAAGTTGTAATTCATATGCTGTTGTAATGAAGTAGTTACGGTTGTAATGATATAAATTGCCATCGAAATTAAAGATAAAGGATTTAAAATATAATGGAATATGGTAGAATATGCAAGAAAAAATATCTGACATATGTTTGCAGTTCGGATCGGAATATCCGTCCCTCGGTCACCCGCCCATGGGCGGGTCACCTCGGGACGGATATTCCGATCCGAACTGCAAAATATGACAGATATTATTATTCTGTAAAATGTTGATGACACTATTAATGACAAGGGAGTTTTTGGTAAATACTTGTTGTATTTTGACAATTACCACACCTCAAGTGAAATTATCACATTATATCATGGGTCATATAAAGCTGTAAAATATGCAAAAGATAATACAGAAATATATCCAAAATGAAAATGAAAATTATATTTGTATGAGGTTCTTAGCTTGATCTGAGCTATAAGCACTTTTCCTTTTCTGGATCAATTTAAATGACTATTCTGGAAAAATGGAGTGAGTGAATGATCTGGAATTTTGCTCACCAGGTATTGGTTTAGAACTATGTGAAATGGTACACAAATCTCAAAAAAAATAAAAATTTCCAGTCCTGTCATGTCAGAGTACCTTAGTGGAGTCCCTATAATATCAAAGTTTTTAACTTCATATTACAATTGTTACTGATTTCAGGCCCTAGAATGTGTTCACAAAGAGCATGCGAAGTATCCTAAGCGTATTCAGTATGCATATAACACACCACATCTTGCTGTGGAAGCATTAGAGGTAAGTAACTGTCAGTTATTTTATTTTTATTGTTCTGTTTTTAAGGGTTTTTATACTTTTGAATGCTATCAATATTGAGCCAGGCCAGCCGATACATAGAGTCAAGCCATTCTGTACATAAAACAACGTCACCCTGTACAAAGAGCTAGACCAGACTGTACATAGAGCCAGGTTAGCCTTTAAGTAGAGCCAGGCCAGACTGTAAATAGAGCCAGGCCAGCCTGTAAATAGAGCCAAGCTAGATTGTACATAGAGCCAGGTAAGCCTGTACATAGAACCATGTCACCCTGTACATAGAGCCAGGCCAACCTGTACATAGAGTCAGGCCAAGAGTCAGGCCAGTCTGTACATAGAACCAAGCCAGACTGTACATAGAGCCAGGTTAGCCTGTACATAGAGCCAGGCTAGTCTGTACATAGAACCAGGACACCCTGTACATAGAGCTAGCCAGACTGTTCAGGTCAGTCTGTACAAAGAGCCAGGGAAACCTGTACATAGAGCCAGTCCAGTCTGTACAAAGAGCCAGGGAAACCTGTACATAGAGCCAGGCCAGTCTGTATAAAGAGCCAGGGAAACCTGTACATAGAGCCAGGCCAGTCTGTCTATAGAGCCAGGGAAACCTGTACATAGAGCCAGGCCAGTCTGTATATAGGACCAGGTCACCCTGTACAAAGAGCCAGACCAGCCTGAATGTTCATAGAGCCAGAAAGTAGATAATTCAGCTCAAGCGTCAGGTCATGCCTAAAATGCATGAAAGGTCACTAAAGGTTTTTGTCTTCAAGTAAAGCTGGAAAATAGGCACTATACAGTCACTTTATACTCAACCAAGACTAAAATATGAAAAAGAATATGTATATTTTGCTAATTCTTGAGTTATGTAAGAATAGTAGTGTTTGAGCTACCCAATACCTCACTGAGTTAATACCCCTGTCAGCTTTAAATGCATAAATATTTCACAGATAAATTTTTCCATGTTACAGATGTACTACCGTCTTCATGTGATTATACTGAAGCATCTGCTGAGACATGAAGCAGAATCTGAGGACCACAATTACAAGCTGTATGTCAAATATATAGTTGAATCTGCCAACACCCCGTTTGTTAAACGTATAGAATTTGGACAAACTGGCAAAACTGAGTAATGTGTCTTTTTATATTGCTGTGTAGAAAAAAATTGTTTTCGTTACAGTTGAGATTTAATATGTTAATTATTTTAAGTTATTTATATGTTTAAAGAAATGTATTGTTCAGATTTTATGAAAGGGTACCTTTGTTATTTAGAGTATAAAAAAATTTAAGATATTTGATTCTGTTTGATAAATATATGTTGTCTTATAAACATATAATGTAAGACTTTTCACAAGAGCTATTTATTAATATTACATGTTGTATTTCTGACGGAGAAAAGAAATGTATTTAATCATGATAGTTTAGTCTATACTGTAGGGAGCATGTACATATTCCCTTACAGTCATTTTGTTCATCCATAGACTGACAAAAGTTGGGTTGGGGGGTCCTATGGGCACATTATAATTAAATGTTTTTTTGTATGGCAAATATTATGTAATTCTTATAGGAGGAGGGACTCTATGTCATCAGCTGATGAAAGCTCTTGTACTGAAACCACACCCTCTAAATCCAACCCCTCAACTGACCACACCTACTTTAGAGAAAAACATATTTCTGGACTTAAATCAGTTTCAAATCCGGTTGCTATGGAAACAGAGAATGTGACAGAACAGAAATCATTTGATTTAGATAAAGTGGACTTAGTAGTTCCAAGTAAGTCTGTAACGACCCTTGAATTGCATTCTGAAGAGCAGAAGACAGAAGTGGATATCACCATGGCAACAATAGAAAGTTCTAAATCTCCTCAAGTGGAGAGTTTTCAGCAAAGGGAGGTAATAACTCCTAAAAGTGAATCTGTTGAGAGTAAAAGAGACAAAGACAGTGCTAACCAACAGAAACTTAAACAATCACCATTTTCTATATCCAGTATTCTTGGTGAAAAGCCAAGTGAAGTGTTAAATACTGTTGAAAAATCCACTGAAGTTGTTAAGGTAGAATCTGATACATTAGCCGGAGGGGAGAGTTTGGCAAACAGCCAAGACAGTAAAGCTTATGATCAGAATGGGTCTGAACAAATAAATGATGTTGAAAGAAAATCAAAATGTTCAGGTGCTGCAGGTGATGGGAATGCTGTCAAAGACGTACCCAAGCCTGACAAAGAGGACATGAATGATGGTGATACTGAAGCAGGTGTTAGGAATGTTTTGTCTCATATTGAAGACTTAATTGAGGAGAATATGAAGGAAGAATGTTCTGGTAAAGCTGATAGTGAGAAAGAGATTGAAACAATGACTGTTGATGGGGAGGATAAGTGTAACAATGGACTGTCTACTACTGAGAAAGGTATGCTTGAAACTTTTGCAATTATATTACTGTATAATATTGTTTATTAAAAATTTTGTTATCAAAATAGTAGAGATTTCACTTTATGTGAGCAATTTTCATTTGACAGTTCATATTTTGTTTAAATTTTTAACCAATCAAATGCCTGAAATCTGACTTTGACCTTGGAAAATGTCTTTTAAACTTTGGAACCTTGTAAGTTCCAAGAAATGGACTTGAGAAAGGTTCAAATTAACTTGGAGGCATGGTTGAGTGGTAAACGCGTCAGACTAGTAATCTTAGGATTGCTGACTTATATGGTTCAAATCTTCATAGGGGCAAGCCATTGTTTCTTTGAGTAAGAACCTTTACATTCATTGCATAGTACTGGTTGGGTCCAGGAATGGATTCAAGAGTGTTACAATAAGCATATAGCTTCCAACACAATCAAACTAAAAATAAATTTGTATAATCTAATAAACTTCAGGCTTTCATCACAATAAAAGAAAATAAGTAATTGAATAATTAGAGTGCAAAAGAACTTGCTGAAAATTTGTTATTTATGATGTCATTACATTAATTTCTGTTGATGAAGTACATGCCTGATTAATTTAGCTTTATAAGTCACACTGAGCTGTATCAGAGACTTGTTGGGACCATTTCCTATTGATATGACCATGGCATATTATTGAGTGTGGCATGAACTCGAGAGGTTTTTGACAGGTTTTTGTTTCATTTGAAAATTTAAGAATTTAAAGAAAGAAACACATATCAAAATTGAAAACATGATAAATAGAATACCAAACAAGTGTCTAATATAAAATTTATAGACTCTGCAAGAATTTTTTTTTTCTAAGCCTTGCCTCATAGGGTTTTTAGTATTAGACACCAGCATGGTATTCTCTATATATCACATTTATTTTTATATATTTAAGCTGATACTAAAATTGATGATCAGATAAACACATTGTTGAAGATGTCATTGCTGGAGCTACACCGTGAGTTAGTGGAGAGGTGTAGACAAGGTATCATATTGTGTCTACAGAGGTTCCCCACCCACTACAAGTCACACTATAGATTGGCTTATATATACATGCATTCACCATACCATAAGGTATAGTTAGATATTTAAACAGTTTGTGTATTATCCCAAGTTATTAGTAAGCTTTTAATTTTGTTTGAAAAAAAGAAGGCCCATTTTTACCTCCACTAATTGAAGAATAATGAGAGCCATTGTACTCACTGCCACTGGTGTTTGTGTCGGAGTCACTGTCACACGTGTATCCTCCATTAAAAAAAAAAAAAAAAAAAAAAATGAGGTATTGTAAAAATCTTTATACTTTCTTAATAGAGATCACCCCTTGTGGCTGAGGGGTTGCCTTTAATGGTTAAGGCATAAGAATTGCAGCCATTGTTTATCCCCATGTGTTTATAAGCAGTGACTAAATGTGTCTGAATAATTGGAGTCTATGCATCTCTTAGCTACACCAGGTGAATTTGACTTTGACACCTGGTAGTTTTTTTATGTTTGTAACATAATTGTTTCCTTTACTGTGTTGATGTGCCGTTAAACAAAATAAATCAATATTAATAGAGGTCAGCCAAGAATAATTTCATGTCGAGTTACATTCTCTTCCAGGATTTGACAAAGGCCCACAATATCCTTTTAGGAGCCCCAAAGTGGCAGGATATAGCTTATATGCCTTGTCAAGGATTGTTTGGTGAGCGCAAACAAACTAAATTCTTCCAGGTAATCTTTCTGTTTTGTGATGATTGTGTGTTGGTTTTTAGCTCACCTGTCACAAAGAGACATGGTGAGCTTTTGTGATCGCTTTCTGTCCGACATCTGTCCTGCGTCCGTAAACCTTTACTTTAAACAACATCTCATAAACCACTAAGCCAATTTCATTTAAACTTCACAGGAATGTTCCTTTGGTAGTCAACTTTAAAAATTGTTCAAAGAATTTAATTCCAAGCAGAACTCTGGTTGCCATGGCAACAGAAAGTAAAAACTTAAAATATCTTCTTTTAGAAAGTCGAAAGAGCTAGAGCTTAAATATTTGGCACGAAACATCATCTTGTCAGTGTCTACCAAGTTTGTTAAAAAAAATGCCCTGGGGTCAAAATTGGCCCCACCCCATGGGGTCATTGATTTTCCTTATTTGCATATATTAAAAACTTTAAATATCTTCTTTTAGAAAACAAAAAAAGCTAGAGCTTAAATAATTGGCATGAAACATCATCTAGTCAGTGTCTACTAAGTTTGTTCTAATAAAAGCCCTGGGGTCAAAATTGGCCCCGCCCCAGGGGGTCATTGATTTTCCTAATTTGTATATAGTGAAAACTTAAAAAATCCTCTTTTAAAAAACCAAAACAGCTAGAGCTTAGATATTAAGCATGAAACATCTTCTACCGGGTGTCTTCCAAGTTTGTTGTAATAAAAGCCCTGGGGTAAAAAGTGGCCCTGCCCCAGGGGGTCATTGTTTTTCCCTTTATGTATATAGTAAAAACTTAAAAAAACATCTTTTAAAAAACCCAAGGAGCTAGAGTTTAGATACTAAGCATGAAATATCTTCTAGCGAGTGTCTACCAAGTTTGTTCAAATAAAAGCCCTGGGATCAAAATTGGCCCCTCCGAGGGGGGGGGGAGGGTCATTGTTTTTCCCTATATGTATATACATGTAGTAAAAACTAAAGAAAGTCTTCTTATAAAAACCCCAAAGAGCTAGAGCTTAGATATTTTTCATGAAAAATCTTCTAAAGGGTGTCTACCAAGTTTGTCCAAATAAAAGCCCCTGGTTTAAAATTGGCCTTGGCCCAGGGGCCTATATACAGGTGAGTCATGGCCCTCTTGTTTTATGTTGCTGTTTAAAGAAAAGATAGAAGAAATAATGCTTAAAAGTTTACAAATGTTTTCTTGTATCGTAAATTTTCTACAGCAAAGTGGTGATATTGTTACCAAATAAATATCTAACTTGCTCATTTTGATATATCATTTACACTCTCCATAATACATAGGGACTGTTACTAATTTAGTATTAAGATGAAAGGCCATAATGGCAGTATTTTTGAAAAATATTTGTTAAGTAAAAAATTGTCCATATCAAAGGAGTTTAACTGTAGTGTGTGTAAACAGTTAAAGAGTGGCAGCATGAATGAGTGATTAACATGTCAGACTAGTAATCTAAAGATTGCTTGCCGCATGGGTTCAAACCCTGTAAATGGCAAGCTGTTGTTTCCATGAGCAAGAAACTTTACAATCATTGCTTTGTACTGGTTGTGACCAGGAACGGATTTAAGAGTGCTTCTTTAAGCTTGTAGCTTCCAACACAAACTAAAATAAATAAGTATAAATTATAAACATCTATTATAAACATTAATTATCTACCTTGGACATAAAATTACCAGTGTAGGGTACAGATGTAAAAATGATTTTGTCAATATATTTGTTAGGGCATATGGAAGATTCCAATAGATGAGATAGACAGATCGGGAAGTTTCCCCTCCCACCTAAACAGATGTATAGGTCTGGTTCTGGAAGTTTTACGAGCTGAGAAAGACAGTCAAACATTACACCAAGTGCATTTACAGCTTAACAGGCAACCAGAACCTGGAAAGTAAGTTACTACCTGATTCAATTATACAGATTAACTCTATCTCCACCTTGTTTATTATATTTCTTTGGTCATAACAACACTAAAAAGGTCATGAAGTTATATTGACTTCTACCTGTCATTAAAAAGGAAGACCTCACATGCCCGTAAGGAAGATCTCACATGCCCCTCTGTGCATGCATTATTTAAGGTATGAGCCCCCTAATGGGCACTATAAGGAACTATAGATAAAATATAAAATTGACAACATAGGTCAGTTATATACCTTAAAAGACACAAGAATTCAAAATTTAAACAAAGTTTACCGTATGGTTTACGAGTTATGTAGATTTTTCTTAAGTAAAACTTGGCTTTTAGAAGGGCTCTTTTTCAGAAATGAGAAACTCTAAATATTCTGTTTTATAATCATTATGAAAAAATGTTTTCCTATAGAACATTTTTAAGAAACAAATAATAGCATTCAGCTAACAAATGACCCAGCAAAATTATTATTTCTACTCAAAATGTTTGAAATATGTATATAAATGTTACCCTACCCCACCCATTTTAAGTAGTTGTTTGATCATTTTTCTACTTTGAGGGCCTTATTCAAAATATCCCGAAAATTTACTCAAATTGGGGGCTGTTTTCAAAGTTTGCATAAATTTTCTTAAAAGTATATTGGTTGCACTTGTCAAATATAAAATACTTTTATCGTCTAGTTTTCATAATTTTCATACTTTATTTTTGTCCGGGCCATTTCTCCTAATGTATAAAAGCCATGGACTTGAAACTTCATAGGATGATAGGTCTCATTAAGAAGAAGTGCACTGCACAAGAACAGGTACTCTGCATTTCTTATTTTTTGAGTTATTGCTCTTTGTTTATTTTCATACTTTAATTTTGTCCGGGCCATTTCTCCTTAAGTATAAAAGCTATGGACTTGAAACTTCATAGGATGATAGATCTCATTAAGAAGAAGTGCAGTGCACAAGAATCGGTACTCTGCATTTCTTAATTTTTGAGTTATGGCCCTTTGTTAATTTTCATACTTAATTTTTGTCCAGGCCATTTCTCCGAAAGTATAAAAGTTATGGACTTGAAACTTCATAGGATGATAGATCTCATTAAGAAAAAGTGCAGTGCATAAGAACTGATACTCTGCATTTCTTATTTTTTGAGTTATTGCCCTTTGTTGATTTTCTTACTTTATTTTTGTCCTGGTCATTTCTCCTCAAGTATGAAAGCTATGGACTTGAAACATCATAGAATGATAGATCTTATTGATAAGAAGTGCAGTGCACAGATATGCTGCTCTGCACTTATTATTTTTTCAGTTATTGCCCTTTGTTTTTTTTCATATTTCATTTTTGTCCTGGCCATTTCTCCTAAACTACATTGTTCACAAGGCGACACATCCGACTCGCGGAGTTCTAGTTATTTTATATGACGTTGAAAATATCAGGTACCATATTTGATAATAAATTTAGCACAATTTAGCCAATAAATACCAATAATAATTTCATAATTAAAATGAAACACTTTTTTCTTCTGAGAGACACAAATAATGTTAAAAAAAAAAAAAGAAAGAAAAAAAAGTTGCCTCTTCTGGGGCTTGAACCCGCGCCCCTCAGTTATAATGCAGTTGACAGTAGTTCTAGCCTATTTGAATACTCTTCAAAGTGGAGGTAATGCATTAGGTGGATTATACCTTAAGTCAGGTGTGACACCAGAGTAGAACCTGCAAACATCCTTAAACTAGACAGATAGCTTTCATTTAATAGGCCCTGTAAAGAACTGAACTGCGTTTAATTGTATCATGTAGCAGTTACAAAGCCTTTCATATACTTGTAGGCTTTTATATAACAAGTGTATCTTGAGTTCATACCGGTACTACCCTGGTTTTTCAACAACTGTGTGTCAACTTCTTCACATAAAACAGAATAAATATGAATTTAGAATAATTAGAAGTGCATGTATACACATAAAAACAAACAGGTGCCTGGCTGACAAATCCATAACAATAATTTGAATTCTGTCCAGCTCACTTTATCCCACTAATCTGACTGGTGTTCATGAGTGTTTATTAGTTCTTCCAGGTGGAATGAAAAGAACATTTTATTACCATATTTATTTCTTAAAGTCTTACAACAAAACCAGTCTAGTTGACTAGGTTAGGATATTATGTCAGCAGACCAATAATGTATGATTTAAGTTCTGCCAATGTTATTTACAAATGCATTTCTTTGATGAATGGTTGGCAGACAATATGACTGACAAAATGACTGACAATTTGGCTGACATTATGACTGACAATATGGCTGACATTATGACTGACAATATGGCTGACAATATGACTGACAATTTGGCTGACAATATGACTGACAATTTGGCTGACAATATGACTGACAATATGATCCTTCACTGTTGCCACATTTGTAGAAGTCTGCAAAAGTTTGCTCTTAAATGATAACTTTTACAATTTGATTTTCCCATTTCTGATGGGATTGCCTTCATTGCCTATATAACAAGAACTATCATTGTATGTGGTTCATTGTGACCTATATGAACAAATATTTACCTAGTGACCTAATTTATCTTTATTTCATTTACAGGAAATATCTACGTGATGCAGAGAAGAAATATTATGCACTGACATCACATCGTTACACTCTTGATGCCGTAGAACAGCAAATTGAAGATATGAAGATGGTCACTGACATGGAAGCACGCCAGAAATTCCTCATGGTCGTATACAAGATACATGAACATGGAGTTCATAAACTCAATAAACATGTTGAAAGGTCAAATCGATTGTTGGCAGAGGCTTATAGGGTCACTCTTAGGAAGCTAGAGGTACGTACATGAAGATGTTTCTATAATGAAGAAAATAACAATGGTCTCAATTTTTAGGTTACATTTTCTTTTAACTCATTTTCTAATGAAATATTGTTATCCCCCGCCGATGGAATCGGGAGGGGGATATAGTTTTGGCGTTGTCCTTCCGTCCGTCCGAATTTCGTTTTCGGAGTAGTTCTCTGCAACTACTGGCTGTAATTCAACGAAACTTTATGGGAATCATCAATATCAAGAGGAGATGCGCATATCGTCGGCTTGTTCAGGTCCGACCCATTAACTCAGAGTTATGGCCCTTGATTAGTTATGTAGTATGCATATAGAGTAAAAATCGTTTCCGGAGTAGTTCTCTGCAACTACTGGCTGGAATTCAACGAAACTTTATGGGAATCATCAATACCAAGAGGAGATGCGCATATCGTCGGCTTGTTCAGGTCAGACCCTTTAACTCAGAGTTATGGCCCTTGATTAGTTATGTAGTATGCATATAGAGTAAAAATCATTTCCGCACTACTTCTCTGCAACTACTGGCTGGAATTCAACGAAACTTTATGGGAACCTTCAATACCAAGAGGAGATGCGCATATCGTCGGCTTGTTCCGGTCAGACACTTTAACTCAGAGTTATGGCCCTTGATTAGTTATGCAGTATGCATATTGATAAAAAAAATTGTTTCCGCGCTACTTCTCTGCAACTACTGGCTGGAATTCAACGAAACTTTATGGGAACCTTCAATACCAAGAGGAGATGCGCATGTGGTCGGCTTGTTCCGGTCAGACACTTTAACTCAGAATTATGGCCCTTGATTAGTTATGCAGTATCCATATAGAAAAATATTTGTTTCTTCGCTACTTCTCTGCTACTACTGGCTGGAATTCAATGAAACTTTATGGGATACTAAGAGGAGATGTGCATATAGTCGCCTTGTTCCAGTCAGATACTTATAACTCAGATTTATGGCCCTTGATTAGTTATGTAGTATGCATACATCTCATTGGCATTTCCAGATTTTACTATTTAACACAAAGTTATGGCTCTGTTATTGCCCTGAATATTTATCAAGTTCAAAGAATATTACTGTTTATGCCATGATTAATATATAAATAAAGCCTTATGTCTTCAGTTGTTGTGTTAATAATAACCAGTACTCGGCGGGGGATATAAATTCAACGAATTTGCTTGTTACCACCCAGTTTTGACTGCTTGTTAAAGATATCACTTGTTTCTTGATACAGTACCTCAATGCATTTTATTTTCTGATATTTTGTAATATTGTTAAACATTGAGCTTCTGAGACTACTTTAGCTGAACTTATAGATTCACACAAAAAAGAAATTACACTTGATTTTTGAATAGGTATATAATTTAATATACAACTTGCCCCTCACTGCTGTAGGTTCGAGTCCCTTGTTATGTAATTAAATATTGTAAAATGGTTTTTATATGTGTTTCAGACTTTACCACAGAAAATGTTCCTTGATCAGGCTATTAGGTACTGTAAACAGCTACTGGCACAAAAATCCAAGAAGGTAAGCACACTGATTCATGTGATTTAAGTCTGGTTTCATGGTTTTAACAAAAATTAAACTTGATTCCAGGTAACAAATTGTAATTGAGCATATTTTTAAAATAGGAAAGTCCAGGAGACTGTTTGCTATTCAGTCACTACATATTTTGAAATTTCCCATAAAAATTAAATTGAAAGGTTACACGAGTTTATTTAAACTTTTTAGCATAGTAAGGGGTAATGTGAAAACAATTAATTTAAATATTAAAGTAAATTGGCTATAAAAGAAGATCTGTCGGTCAATAAATATATAAGTCAATAGTATTAAGTATCAGACATAACAACAAACCACAAAATAATTGTATATGAATATTGTTAGCAAGTGTGAGATACATGATTTGATATGACTTATATTTATACAGCAGATAATAAATTGTTATAGAACAAAATATTAAATCACTAACATGTAGATTTTTATCAACATCTTCTTTCCATATATTTCTATTGTTTTTATCAACATTAGAAACACTTTTATCATGGCAATGAAAATGTTCCCATAATAGGCCAGCCACTTTAAATATTGCAAAATCTTTTCTTATTTTGACATATATATAATTCTAGGAAAGTTAAAACTATATGTTCATCATTTATTATGTAATTTTCTTTGAAAATCCCCATAGAAATCTCAAAGAACTGAAATATATAAGAATATTTCTTCTTTATATTATAATGATAAGTGTTTGTTGGCTGAGCTCAAAAGGGACAGCTTTTGTTAACTTGGGGTTGTAAGTTTGATTCTTGGGCATAGTAAAATTTCACTGTGACAATTGATCTTGGACATTGAGGTTAATGGTCATTTGTTTCTCAAGACTGATATATAAATCATGTGGGATAAGTTGTCAGTGACTTGAACAGAAAATGATAATTAATGGTTAGTTATTCTGTAAAGCCGGTTATGTGAACCGGCTGCCAAGATATGAGCAAAACATGTGTGGCAATAAAAACCAGACAAAGAAATCTTAAGTTCTGACCTTTTATGAATGGAAGAGAATCAATTTCTTTATTTTCAGGCCCAGGATTCTAAATCCCCCGTTGGAGCATCATCTCCTGTGCCAGCCAGTTTTATACCACCTTCAGAGCCTGTTGATCTGTCTACGAAAACAGTGAAACCTCCAACTTTGATCAGTCTTGCCAATATTATGAAAAGTCAGGGAGCAAGTTACAGCATGCAAAAAGTGGCGGAAAAAAGTACAGCTAAACCTTCGATTGAATGTGCAAGTACTGATAATAGTCAGTCAAATAATGACATACCTGCAAGTGAGAAACAATCCACTGAGAAAGGAGATGAATCAGATGTTATAGTTCTTTCTGATAGTTCTTTAGATTCTCCGTTGAAAAAGAATGATATTGAAAGGACTAAACCTGCTTCACCAGCTTTGAATTCCAATGCACCTACTGTAAAAATTAAAATGGGTTTACTCCAGGCAGTAAAAAAATTAAAACCAAACAAGGAAGGTGGTATAACAAGTGGAGATAATGAAACCTCACAGGATGAAGTTTTGTCGTCTGCTTTATCTGAAGATGAAAGTGAGGCTCCTTTCCCGTCTGCTTCAGATGAACAAGAGGCAAAGGCTAATTCAACAACAACTTCTTCATCATCATCATCGTCGTCATCATCATCTAGTGAGAGTGGAAGTAGCAGTGATGAAGAAAGTGATGATGCTAATGATGGTGATGAAGATGATAATGATAAAAGTGATGACAGTGATGATGAAGAGTCAAGTAGTGATGAAAATGAGAGTGATGATAATGGAGGTTGATGAGGATGAAGATAATGCTGGTAAATCAAACAATAAAAAATTCCATTAAAAAGATAGAAAATAAACCACAGAGTGTTCAAAAGAACAATGAAAGTAGTTCCAACAACGGAAGATGAAGAAGAGAGTAGTGATAATGATGATGAAATAGATCTAATAAGTAGTAGTAATGAAGAAGTGGATGAGGATGATGTAAAAGACAAGGATTATAAAGCAAGTGAAGATGACATTGATGATGATGTTATCATGATATCAGATGAAGAATATGCACCTAAAGGAAAAGCTGTAATTCCTTCACCCCCACATACAAGTGCTCAAATGGGAACTGAGGTTTCTTGTAAAAGAAGTTCCAGACTTTGATCCCTCTTTGATTTCAGGTTTGATTGCAGATGTTGAGCCAGTTCCAGTTGGGCTTCCAATTGCTAATAGAGCTAGTTCTAATTTTGGACAAAGTGCAATGGACATTGATAAAACCTGAAGTATTTTGATTGAAATATTAAGTTTTTTTAAGGATGAATCATTGAAATGATTTTTGATATTATAATTGGAGTATTTGTTCGTTTTTTGAAATTGTTCATGGTATTTGTTAAAACGTGCTTAGTTAACCATAAGTTGTGAATTTCTAAGATTCTAATAATTCAGGGTCTTTTCTAAACTTTTTTTAAAACATTCTTATATTACTGAACTCCTGCTCTTCGATTTATTTCAAAATAAATTTTGTGAGAAAAATTGGATGATCCACACAAAAATGAAGAACTCGTTTGACAGGAGTATTTTTTGGGGGTCATGATCACAATACCATTTGAAAAAGAGTATTAGATATTTCAATGAATTGTTGAACATGTCTTTACTTGTTGTATTTAAATACTACCTGAGTGTTTTCTGCAAGAAGCCAATAACGTAACCTTTGTGTATAGCCCTTGTACTAATAAATCATTTTTCCTTTAAATTTCTAGCACAAAAGCTATGAAAATTCATATATTTGCAATATGAATTTATGATTTTTCTGTTAAAAATTCCAACGTTTTGTCTTGTGAACTGTTTTTAAATTCTTCCAATATTTGCCAAAAGCCAGTTAACAGTCTGTAATTGTGGAATATTGCTCTTGTTGTATGCATTGTAAAGTAAAAAAGAAATATGGCCAAGAAATGTGTAGAGTTATGCTTGAAAACAACCAACGAACAGTATTTTAGTCACGTTGCACTGTCTATTTTCTTTTGTGGGCCGTTTATCTGACGTCACAGAGTTCATTAAAGTATCTTCTGTTATTTAAAATCAAAGTCATCTGAGCAGATGCAACCGGATTCTTAGATATACATTTTCTCCCTCAAAAGTAAAGAAACTTGTATGTCTGTCTGTTTAAGTTTAGTGTGTGAAAAAAAATGAACAAAGAATAACATATGTTTGTTAAGCAAGCGGTTCTCCTTACCGTAGATACTACAATATCAAATGTATAACTAATTTATTAGTTTGTAAACAATAACTGACTTCCGTTATAAGGTTCTACAGAGCTAAATTTATAAGACCTTGTAAGTAGTTATTGTTTTTAGCTCACCAGAGCACAGAATGCTATTGTGATACCATGAAGTCCAGCATTAACATTGTTACTATAACAACATCTATAAACTGCTTAACAAATAGTGATATTGCTATAAATGTTCCGGTCCGCTGAACAAGATGGCCTGCTGAAAAGATGGCCTCGTTAATAACATTGTACCTGAAACGTTGTGTTAATTCCTGTATAAACATATACTTGTACATACTAAGTAAAAATACACAATCACATGATCAAATTTAAACAAGAGATATTTAATATTGCTTATATCTTTCCAGTGTTCCTTGTATGACATTAAAATGAAAGACATGTTTGTTTAATAGCATGATTGTTTAGTATGTCTCCGAGTAAAATCACACAAACCCATGTTAAAGTTTTCTTGTTTACAAACGGTCACTTCCAGTTGGCACATCCAGAATGAATTATGTGTTTCTAAGAATTTAAGAAATAAAGTCCTAATATTAAATAAATTATGGGAACATGTCTATGATATCAACAATATCAAACATAAATTTTTAAAATCTTCAAATTTATTGGTTCAACTTAATATGTATATTTTATGTATTACAAGTTAACACTTTTGTGGCAGATGTGAATAATGGCTAAATACGATTCTGTTTATTATGTCACGCACTGAGACATTAAAGACATTATTCATTTCTGCAAACACAATAAATAGCTGTCCATTATTTTGATACATTGGATACTTTTTAGCAAATATTGGATAGTTTCTTCATCTGTCAGTACCATAAACACATTACTGTACAAATGTAACGAAAGATGACTTCTCAAACATGTTTTTTAATATAAAGCACCCAAACAATGATTCCCTTAATTATCAGTTATCTATATAATTATGTTAAAATTGTAGTACTTGTAATTGTGATGGATTTTTTCAAAGGCCTTCGACAAAGTCGACCATCACAAATTGATCCATAAGCTAAACACAATGGGTGTTAACAAACAGGTATCCACCTGGGTCAGGTCATTTCTTCGCCACCGCAGCCAAAGGGTTGCAGTGGAAGGTCAAATCTCCGACCAGCTACCAGTGTTATCCGGTGTCCCTCAGGGTTCAGTCCTAGGACCCTGTCTGTTCCTGGCATATATCAATGATTTGCCAGAAACTGTCAAAAGTAAAACCAGGTTATTTGCGGATGACACTATAGTCTACTTGACAATTAAAGACCAGACTGACGCTGACAGACTACAGGACGACCTACATAAACTTGAAGTTTGGGAATGGGACTGGGCTATGGAGTTCAACCCAGACAAGTGTGAGGTGCTGAGGATCACCCGTAAAAAGAACCCCACCATCTTTCCATACACCCTTCATAATAAAAACTCTCAAATCAGCAGAATCTGCAAAATTACCTTGGAGTAACTATCTCTAAAGATCTAAACTGGACACAGCATATAAATAACATCACCTCCAAGGCCAAAAATTCTCTAAGATTCATCCAGAGAAACGTCAAAAACCCAAAAACAGGCAACTCAAAACATCAGCCTATGTTACTTATGTCCGACCACAACTAGAATTATTGTTCCACCATATGGCACCCCTGGCAGAAACATCTAAGTCATAAGATTGAAAGTGTCCAACGAGCTGCGGCCAGATATGTCTGTAATAATTATAATTTCGACAGTAGTGTAACACAAATGCTAAATGAACTTGGGTGGCCTTCCCTAGAAAGCCGCAGACTCCAATCCTCTCTTGTAGTGTTCTATAAAATCCAATACAAACTTGTATATGTTGACCATAACCATCTGACCCCAACTAGAAATCTGAACTTCCTGATCCCAGTCCCGTACCCAATATCATCTAAAATCCTACTTCCCTAGAACTCTCAGGTATTGGAATAGCCTTCCATATCAGGTCAAATCCAGTCCCAGCCTAGATGCCTTCAAGGATAGGCTGGCGACAGTCACCTTCTAGTCCCCTCCCCAGTATGTTTTTAATCTTGCACTATTCTTTTTATCCTGCACTTTTTTTTATCTGTGATCTTTATCTTTTAGTATGCACTAATTCTTTTAACACAGTTTTCCTGACAAGCGCCTCCCAGTCATAGTCAGAATTGATTGTTCGGGAGTAACATGTAGATGTAGATGTACTGCATACTGACGTATACCACGGATCTTGATATAAGTCGTACGTCATAGGTGATATGAGTTTTTATTTATAACATTTTTATGTCATCTTTTTTATTTCGAAAATTAAAATGAGTTTATCAAGTCAAGTGTATCAAGGCTGATTTTGTATAAGTTCCCTTCCTATTGCGACGGAGTATTTTTTCTTTTTACAAAGCGCAAACAGGGCTCTTAGCACCAGTTTTGGGGTCTTACAGGTATTATAATATGACGTATCTTGTAATCCGATAGACGTTTCACCTAATGCGTGGTTTGTTAAGATTCATAATGTATAGGCCTATATCCTTTCAATGGCCATGCGTTTGTTAAAACGTTTTTCATTCCGCGGAATTTATAGAGCGCCTTATATCCTGTTTTCTGAATGGTGTTAGGTGAATTTTCCTGTAGCGTAAAATGGAAGAGAGCACAGACACATTTTCACTATTATTGTCAGGCAATTTTATACCACCATTAGAACAATTGCATAATCGTAACTTTCCCTTCCAATCCCGTTGCTTTTATGCAATCGCATTTTCATTTTGTTGACAGACCACATATTTGGAGGTGGGGGTCAATTACGAAAATGCCTTTGAGAAATGGTTGGCCACGAAAGGATAAAAGGACCCCTTAATTAATTTTTTACATGTATAATTCTTTATGACAAAATGTGTCTAATTAAGGATGAACTGGAGGAAAAAATATTTTAGGAAGATTTCTCTTTTTTTTTTAAATATTACATAACCTGTTGACTCTTAGTGATTTATTACTTAACGAGAGTGAAAAGTGAAACACCTCTACACAATATTAATATTATGGGATATATTTAATACCATTTTTGTTCAATATCAAACTATATCTGGTATACTTACATGATTTGTTTATCTGGTCTTAAAAAAAGATTACATTTCACCTTAAAAATAAATGTAAATAAATGATGCGCTAAAACAGAGATATGTGTACATTATATACCTAAACTGTCAAATGTCCGATAACTATTATCCTCTATGTTATTTTAACAGTTGTTATAATTATGTTTTTTATCACTACCACATTGAAGGTAATTATAAGTTCTAAATTATAACCTTTTTTTGTTTTCCCCCCTAAAATTGTGATAATTATCCAATTCCTTGCTTATAGCTATCATTATATCTTTTTATATTGATCAACCTCGTCTTTTTTGTAATTGTCATATTGGGGTGTTCCGACCATTTTATTATCACTCGTATTTATATCACATGTATCAACGCCAATTAAATTATTATCTTTGTAAGTATAAATTGTCTTTTTTTATTTAAACAAGGTTTAATCAAAACGAAATTTGAACAGGAAGTTTATAAAAAGAACGTTTTTAGTTTTGGCTTTGGTATAATAAAAAGCCAGGGATTTGTAACTCGTACAGAGGAAAAACGTAAGTATTCTTTCTTGTATAAAATACTTTTGTTATAATTGACAGAATAATAAATGGTAAGATTTAACAATGATTAGCAAGAAAAATGGAACGATGCTGTAAGATTGTAAGATATATGTGTTTCAAATGAAACTATCGCGTTTCGGTAAGAAAACTCTAATTTCTAACACTAACATCTATGCAGTCGGCATATTTTGAACTCGAAAAAGCAAAAATACAACAGATGAAATGCGAATACACGACATATTTTATATGTCGTATTTTCGTTCTCCTTCTGCTCATATTTTCGCGTCTTTGCCTCCAAAATGCTTTAAAGCAAAAACACGAACTTCGTGTTTTCGCATTTTAGCAATTAGAGACGAATAAGCGAAAATACGACATGGCGTAAATCAGCCACCATGGGTTTTTAATATTTTCATATGTGCAAGAGTTAACTTACAGGATCGTGAACGTCATTGGTGGTCTCGTTAATTTGGAACACATTTATAATTCAGTAAGTTCTTGTGTAAAATAAACTCAGTAAGTTCTTATGTAAAATAAAATGTTCAGTGTAAAATGTTTTGTGGAAGGAATCAAAGGTGCTAGTTGCATTGATTTGACCTAAAATGTGTTTAACCTTGTTATTTATGCACTAAAACATCAATATATTAAAAAAATATTTTAATTTAATGAGATTATATGGACTATAATAATATAACGGAAAAAAAAATTCAAAGTCTATAATAATATAAAAGTAAAAAAAAAATATATTTATTTGTTTTGGTCGTCAGACCAAACAAATAATGGTAGCGAAATTTCAAACCCTGATGTTCTTATTTGCAAATACCGAAAGTAGTCCAAACTTCTCGAAGCGGTTACTTCCCTTAATATGTAAATTAACGCCGAAAAATTAAGGGGAGATCACTGCGTAAAGATTGTTAACTGACAGGCGCATAAATTTTCGTAACGAAAAAAATAGTTCCCGATTGATCGAAGATATCTAATATTGTGTTATTCTTAAAGATATAAATGCTAATATTCAGCTCCATGATTATTTACTTCAGTGTTAAACAACGGGTTTACCGTGAACAAAATATATCGAAATTAACTAGGGTTACAAACTCTAATTTAGTATAATATTGTATTCTTCAGACTGGTATCTTATCACTCCCCGTGGTCGAGGGGTTTACACGCTCGCTTTGGAAGCCAGAGGTCTGAAGTTCAAATCCCAATAGGCAACTAATATTGTTTTTTTAAGCCAAATAAACGTTGAATTGAATATCAGTGGTTTAGCCAATTTACTACAGTTATAAAACGGCATTGGTGACACTATACAAGCAAATTTGTTTATAATCTTACAACCTTCACCTTTCTGACAGTCTCAGACCCGCCTTCTGTGCTTTGATTTTTTTAAATATTGTTTTAGTGCATAAATAACAAGGTTAAACACATATTAGGTCAAATCAATGCCACTATCACCTTTGGGAGGAATATGGTTAATAAGGATTTAAATCTATTAGCTATTTAACTTGTAGGTTAAAGAACTAAATGGTGCATCCTTTACGTATTATTTTATAATGGCAAGAACTATCATTTTACATTTTGATATAAAACTATCCTTAAATAACAACAAACAAAAACAAACAACGATAACGTAATAAACGAGTATGCGTTTTTGTTTTGATAAATAAAGTCGATTTTCGTAAGGTAGCAGATGTTAAAAACAAAATATTTTCCTTGAACTATTTTGAATTAGGCTTAAAAATATATATAAGCCGTTTGGGCTTTATTATTTATTTCAATTTGGTGTGTTTCCTTGGCTTGTTGATCGGTTTTTGCCATATATTGCTAACCTTCGGCGTTACCACTGCACACTTCCTGTGCTGTTTCACTTCCTGCGTTACGTATACGTAGGTAAAAGTAAGGAATAAATGATTGTTATAAGTTAAGAAAAAAATACTCATACATGATTAGTCACTGAGTCATGAAGTCATTGAAAGTTATCTACATTAATACATGTACATCGGCATGTTCATAACGCAGATGTTTTTGCCATTGTCTGCAAACGTGTGCTTTTGTTTACAGGAAACGAAGTTTATGAAATTTAACGTCAACTTCTAAAGGCGACGCATTCTGGTCTAATATCTCGAAATATAAAAAAAGAAGCAATGAAACGAAATAAATAAAGCGGAAAAAAACTCTTCTATATCAAGGTTATTGATGTATTACACAACCCTGTTGTTGAGTCCTTACATTGGAAAGTTATTCACAGTTCCCTTTGTAAAGAGTATGAATCTTTTAAAGCCGGAAATCTTCATCAGATGTCTAGCAATTTGCATTTCCTCGCCAAGGAAGAGAGAGTACCAGATCCAACTAGACTCGTGGCAAAACAATGGCTTGGTCTTATACTAGACGACATAGAGAAGAAATATAGTAAGGACACAGGGCTTTCGAAACTGTCTCGCTGTGAATATATAGTTCTTCAAAATATTCGCCCATTGCTTGAACTCGATAGTGTAGCATACTCGGATACCATTAAAGCTTTACACTGGAAAGTTGTCGAAAAACAAATAGACTGGTATTTAGAGAAACTAGAGGCCGATCACGATTTTGAAATACAAAATATCCGATGGTTGATGCGATTTCAAATTAATAGCAATACTCCTGAATTTATAAGAAACAAAGCTCTGAAGCTTTCGTAAACTAAACGAAAAATATGTGATTGAAAGGTTGTCCAAGAAATATGATATGATGCAAAGCGATGTGCATGATTTAAACTGAAAAGGGA